AGTATATAGCTAAAATTAATATTCAAAATTTTATTAAAAAATTTAAATATTAAAAAAATTAGTAAAAATCTTCGTAGGCAAATTTGCCTGTGTTACAATTTAAGGGATAGTAAAGAGTGCCACCTGCCTTTTCCTCCTTTATATGTGTTGCTTCTGGCTTGCATGCTAAATATAGGGCAGATTCTTCCAGACCAGGTTGATTTTTGTTCTCTAAAAACTACTACTAAAATCTTCTTAGAACTATAGTCTACAGAGCTTCATCTACAGAACTTTTGTCCACCAGAATTTATAGTGCTTGCCAGAATGCCACCTGCTTTTTCCTCTTGATTAGGCTTCTGGCTTGCATGCTGAACATAGCAAGAAGTCCCAAAAGTAGTTGACTACTTTTTCTACAAACTGCTACTGTAGTCTACTCAACTCTCCAACAGAGTTTTTATTTTTCTTTAGTTGGGAAAATTGGTTCAAGTGATCATCAGGAAGAGTTATTTCAAAAATAGAAATAATTTTGCTTTTATTAATCAAAAGAATATATATAATATAGGGTTCCTAGGTTTAGTTTAGTTCAGGTTTAGGTTCAATAAACCTGAACCTAAATTTAAACTACAAATTTGCAGATCTTTGAACTTGAACCTAAACTGAACTTTGAATTTATAAACCTAAACTAAACCTGAACTTAAACGTTTTGGTTCAGTTCAGGGTTCATGAACATGTTTAGGGTTCAGTTTTATTGTTTTTGGAATTTCTGAATTTAGAGTTTTAATATTTTAAAATTTTTTCTAATATATTAAATATAGTTAATAAAAACTAAGCAATTTTTTTTTTAATAATTTTTTTTAAGACTTTAAACAAAGTAATTTTATTAAACTTTTTAAATTAATTTTACAAGTTTGTAGTATTTATTTTAAAAAAATATTTATTAAATTGGTTAAGTTCTTATTAAATTACTATTGCTTAAGATTTTAGAAAATAATTAAATTCGTCCCACTAAAAGTTCATGGCATCTTTTATTTTAAAATGTACTAATTACGTTTACCTTCATCGGGTAATTTTCTTGGGCTTATTCTGCACACATCGAATCACAACCTTTCAAATTCTCGATTACACTTAGCTAATATTCTGTAACTGGCTTATATGTACTGTATACTGTTCGAAAACCGAACCCGTTATATAACTGAAGTAGGATTCTGCAAGTGCCAGGATATGTTTTATCAGCACCATGCCCGGCGCTCGTAGAACCCTAATCCGAAGCAATCAAGTTATATAACTTTTCTATGGTCGATTTTAACAACTTCCTTGTCTTGTCTAGAGCATCAGAGGTGCATTAGGGTGTTGAAAAGAGCAGAGCGCATTTCATAAAACAGAAGGGCCCATTCATAAGACAGGAGTTTATGGATACTAACTTCCATCGCCCATAAACTTAATTCCCGAATTGAAACTTAATAAATCATCGTAAAAAAGTCTCATGTCTAATAGGCGCATTTGTTTACTCAGTATAATAAAAACAAGTTTAGTAAATCTAATTATAAAAAAAAACGGTTCGCAAAATTGGCAAACGTACATGCATCACTTTAAAAGGTCATTTTGGAACATATTTACAATTCTTACAGCATTTTATCTCTTTGCAAATGTTACTTTCATTTCCTTTTCGTGAGTAATTTTAAAACCATTTAAAACTTCTTTAGCCACAGCAGCTTGGTGATCAGCCTCATATTCCACAAACGCGATGTCTGATTTTCCAGGGACAAGACGAACTTCTTTGAAACCAGGATACCTGATGGATAATTTGTTATAATCAAGTACATTTCTGATAGAGAAAATCTTGCAATATTTCAAAATACATACTGTTCAAACAGGTAGCTCAACATTTCGTCAGTAACATCCGGTGGCAAATTTTGTATATACAATATTCTATTTTGGGGTTCTACTTCACCTTTTGGTGCAGTAGGAACCATTGACACATCACTTTCATCCATTTCTTGCCAATTAAACATTTTGGCGTTAATAAAATTAATCATATAAATAAATTAAACATATATATGACGATAACTAATTTTTTACCAATTTCAGGTTCTAATTCCATATCTCTTCCTTTTTCACCATTCGCAGGTCTCTTGTGATCCACTAAACCTATAGTATTTTTTTAAAAAAATATATATATATATCATGCATAAATTAAATTTATGGATAAAATTAAAAGTAGCAACAATTCTAACCTTCTTCCTCTCTTTGTCTTTTCACAGCAGGCGCGGATGTGACAGGTTGACCTAACGTTGATGTACGTTGAGAAACAGTACCAGGTCGTTTCCATGTCCCATCCAATTTCGCAACGGCATCTGACTTTCCTTTTGCGTATTCTATTTGCTATTATAGATTCGACGCGTATAAAATGCAAACAAATAAAAAAATCGAAAGGTCAGCTGCATTCGATAATTGAATTATATTGGAAGACTTTATAATCAAATCCACCATAATATATTTGTTGGATCGACCTTTGAGAATTAAAGATAATTAGAATTATAAAAAAGAAAGTATGGTATTATCAGATTATTCAAGTAAAATAATTCGTTTTGTGCAATGTCATTTACAAGTGAATCATACATAATAGAAGATAAATGAACTGAAAAAAGAAGGAAAGAAGGAAATCTCACCATAGGCACATCGTAAAAATTAAAGCCATTAAGTCCTCTCATAGCTGCCGTAGCGCTTTGAATTTCCTTGAAAACAATAAAAGCTTGGCCGCGCATTTTTATAGTTTTCAAAGCAACAATATCTAAAATTCGTCCATAGGCTGAAAAAAGAGCATACAATGATCTCTTTAATTCTAATAATAAAAAAAATCGTGTTAGATACTATATTAGTGGCACAAGCTATAGAGTAGTAATAAATACCCTCTTTATTGATCTTTTCATTTAAATTGCGGACGTAAAGAGTTTGATTTGGTAGAATGCTTGACATAGTAATCTTTGGGCAAAGTTGCTAAGACTTTGTGGCTGCGGATTATGCTTGTCTGATACATTTAAGGTTCATTCCCCCGAAATTAAACAACCCACCAATAAAATATCCGGATATATAAATCATACAGTTAACTGTTAATAATAATAATATAAAATTACAAGATTATCTATAAGAACAAAGCTTGTAATTTCAATTTCTTTATTTCTTCTTGTTTTTTACAATGAACATAAAAAGAGCCATATAAACTAACACTCCTAACCACATGCTGAATCATTGTATTTGACTTGCTCAATGTCTAAAAATTTTAGTATTGTAGCAGGTCATGATTATTTGTAATTGTCATACTGAAACTTAGGGTCTCTATTAATATCTACTGCAGTATTAAAAATTCACATTACTGTATTCTGTACTCACAATACTAATCCTAAAAAAAAAAACTGGAAAAATTTATAAATTTCATATTAAGTAAATAGATCAAGATTTTACTATAAGTTAATTTTGCCACAATGGATTAGCGAATAGGTTACAAGAAAGCGCGAAGGCTTCAAGTTTAGAGCGGCCCCCAGTTCGAGTTGATGATCGATGTCACTGCACAAATAAGATTCTTTTGGAAAAAATTCATATGGGCTGCCGTCAATAAAAATCAAGCAGATTGACATAATCTCTTAACTTTCACAATTAATTAATATTCAAAAGAAAGCTTAGATCTTAAGCTTTCTTTTGAATATTAATTCCTCAAAATTCATCGAGATAGTATTATCACATGATTTGTATTAATTTTGATTGGTTAAAAATCATGTGACATTGATTATGATTTTAAAATCTAAACCCAAAAGAAACATACCACACAACCTTCAAAATTAGAAGTCCATTCTTATATAAATTTATATATATGTATTATATAAATTTTTACTACCCCCAAAACTAGGCCGATATAAATTAAAGATCTTAAATTCTGAAATTTGAACAGAATCGGCAGCAATAATTTTATCGGCAAATATACTGTAGTCCATTTTTAAATGATTATAAATGAACTCAATAAATATATTGACAATCGAACCCATCGCACTAGTAGTTAATAATGGTATATAAAAATTTTTTATATCGGTATAAACCGGATTTTTTAACCAAATCGGAATGAATCTTTTACAAATCAACATGGGATTTTTCCGGGTCCCTGCTCAATGGATTTAACAAAAAATCTAATTGGTCTGTATGATCAAACTGGACAATTAATTTCTTTGTCGATTCATGAAAGAGGTGCTTGCGTTTGAGAATGAGTTGATTGATAACGCACTTAATAAGCCTTCTGGATAATGAATTGTGTAACCGATCACAAATGATAGGGTCCTTAGAAATGCTTTATGGAATATGAACTCCGATAGTATAGCTTGGTATAAATATTTAAGTTGCTTTCTGTTTAAAGGATCATAAATTTCAGAACGTCTTTAATCTACAAACTTGAATTTTGGTTCAATGTCTAAAATCGAATCATTTCATCAAGGCATGTTACGATCTTTAGTAATTTATGAGAAATTTTTTTCTATCACTCGAATTCACAACTGTTTTATTTGTCATCCTAGTGCTAAATGCTTCAAAACACATAGTCGCTTTGTGTGGTGCAGGATTGAGTGCAGAATCAGGAGTACCGGTACTAATAAATTCGTGAAACTCTTAGAATTACGCATGAATTGTGTTGCCAACTTTTCAAAATCTTTATTCACTTAATAGACTTTTCGAGGTGAAGGTGGCTTTTGGAGAACTTTTCAAGCGACCGAACTTGCCACACCAAAGGTATTTTATCCAGTAAAAGTTTAGATATAAATTCTGATCCGTGATTTATAATTTATTAGGCATTCGAAAAGAATCCATCCCGAGTATGGGAATTCTATCATTATCGGTACTAAGATCATTTGTCATCTATAGGGTTGTAAAATTATGGTAATTTACGGTATTGTTATGGTAATTTACTGGCATATCTAATTAAAAACATAGTGCAGGTGATGAAAATCATTAAAATTTTAATAATTAGCGGTGGCGTAGTGGTAACAAAAACATAAAATTTAGATTGCAATAACTCTTGAACAAGTAAACCCACACAAATAAAATTATATTTGTCGGGTTTATTTTAGTGTACTGTTTAAAGTAGAAACGCTTTTTTTTTTTAATTTAATTTATTTTTTGAAGCATAGCGAAGACCAATTTCCATGCAAAATGGTTTTTTTTTAACAAACATCAAAACATTCTTTGTTGATCATTATTGCATAATACAACTCGAGTAGACAAAAAAATTTAAAATTGCGTTTATTTGATGTTTTTATTAAAAACATCCGAAACGGCCATTTTGCATGAAAATTGGGTCCTCTGCTATGCTTCAAACATAAAAATGAATAAAAAAAGGCATTGTTACTTTAAAAAGTGAACTCGACAAATATAATTTTATTTTGTGTATAATCTAAATTTTATGTTTTTACTATTTACGCTACTACAACGCAGTTAATTATAAAAAAATTGATTAATGATTATCATTATATATATTATATATGTTCATATATATATATTATTAGATCAGTAATTTATCGGTAAATATTGGTAATTTTACAACCAGGTTACAGATTCGATTTTTTTATTGTGTCTAATGTTATTTGCACTTTGTATAGTCGTGAATTAGTGTTGACAAAAAAACCGAATCGTGCCCATAAAGCCTTGGTTGATTTTGAAAAAAAAGTGTTATCAGCAAATCCAAAAACACAAACTTTTGCTGTCATTACTCAAAATGTTGATGGTCTTTCAAGTAATATCAAAAACTTGATTGAAATGCATGGTTCTCTTTTTAAAACTCGTTGTACTAAATGTGGAGATAGAACAGAGAATTATGATTCTCCTATTGCACTTGCATTAAAAGGAACAGAAAACTCTCAATTTGATATTAATCTTCCGATTGAAAAACTTCCAAGTTGTTCAAAATGCAAAGGTTTGTTGAGACCAGATGTTGTATGGTTTGGGGAATGTTTAGATAATGATATTTTGATGAAGATCGATGTTGAACTAGAAAGATGTGATTTATTGTTGGTTATTGGAACTAGCGGTCTCGTCTATCCAGCAGCTGCTTATGCTTCGATTGTCTCAGCTCGAGGTGGCAAGATTGCAGTTTTCAATATTGAGAAAACATATGATGCTGATTTTGAATTGTAGTTATTTTTATTTATCTAATGTCTTTTTTTGTAATTGCATTTTTATTTACTGTATTTATTTATTTTTTTAAATTTAGCATTGGTTCTTGTGGTGAAATTTTAGGAAATGCTCTCATGGTTAATGATGGTGAAGATAAACATGAGGTTGTCTAACACAAGCATGTGATTTCCTGATTCTAAAAGCAATATTTATTTGTTTGCAAAATAACTGTTCTATCTGAGTTTATATATAATATATATATTATACAAAATTGAGTTAATAAAAATTAAGCAAATTAGAATTTTTTTAAATTAAGATTTTTAATAAAATAACAGTTATCTGATTTGTTATACATGTAAATTTTTATATATGAAACTATAATAAAAAATATATAAAATTACCATAAACAAATTTTTTTTATTTTTATTACTAGCTGAAAACCCGTGCAATAATGCACAGGAACAAATATATATAATCTAAAATCTAAAATAAATAATAAAATTTAAGCCTAAATTAGTATTAAAGTAATTATAATTTAATTTTTTAATTTAATTTTTATTATTTAAAAATTTTTGTTCTACTTTTTTATAACTATATCATTATATTAAATTATATAAAATAATTATTAAATAATATATTAATATAGTATAATAAATATTAATTTATATTAGATATTAAATTTGTTATTAAATAATAGATTAGATTTAAGTATTTTTATTACTATACTTTGCAGAATAAAGATAATTATATGGCATTTTCTATTTTTTGGATTTTGCATTTACCAACTGTTATTCGGCATTTGAAATTTTATTATTTTTATATACACATGAGTTACATATGTTATTCGAAATATTTTAAATCTGTTCTGAATTTAAAATATATCCGAACAACATGTATAACTCATGTGCATAAAAATTTAAAATTTTTAACAGTTGGTATGCAAATCCAACAAATATAAATGCTATATAATCCAGTTATTAAAGCATGAAGAAACTCATAACTATAGTATCATAATATTCAAATTCTAGTAAAGTGCTATTGTGCTTTACTAAAATTTGAACACTATGGTACCTTACTAGTATTTGCACATATAATCTAATCGACCAATTTTCGTGCCTCATAACTATTAAATAATCTACATTATCCAAATTTTTTTGCATAATATATAAAATGTAAAAAGAAAATAATAATTAGCCAATTATTAGTATTATATTAGAATCAAATAATTATATTAAGCAAAATAATTATTTAGTGTTAGGATAAGAAAGTTTATATTATAAAATCATTTTAATAGCTCTTTATGATTAGTATTAGAGTGAGAAAGTTTATATTATAAAATAATCTAATAGAACTTTATAATTAGTATTAGAGTAAGAAAGTTTGTATTTTAAAATCACTTTAATAGCTTTTTATAGTTGATATTAAAATGAGTAACAGCTCTTTATATTATATGCTAAAATTTCATAAATAATTTTATTTTTTTTGCCAATATGCAAAATCTAAAAACTCCATTACTGTAGATTCTTGAAATAGTGGGTAATTTGAATACGTGCATGGGCATTATTTTGAAACAAATATAAAAATATTAAATATCTTATATAAAAAATAAAAAGTGCTCCGAAGGTAGGTTTGGTACTAAGCAAACCTACATTTGGCTTCTAACAAATGTCGTTCTTCAGACTGAACCGATTCTAATAGTGGTAAAATCATCAAAAGCGGCCCAGTAGATCGCCCACAATGGCTCTTCAAAGTTCTAGAACATTTGTTTATCTTTGTTTACTACAATATAGTAAACAAAGATAACAAACGTTCTAAAACTTTTAAGAGCCATTGCAGGCGATCTACTGGGCCAATTTTTATGATTTTACCGCCATTAGAATCGTCTCAGCCTGAAGAACAACATTTGTTAGAAGCCAAAAGTAAGATTTACTTAATACCAAATCTACTTATGGTGCACTTTTTAAAACTAATATAAATAAATATTTTCTATAGGGCACACATGAGCAAATTTCAAAACAACACCACCTAATCTATTGGTTTTTCTTTTAATAATATATCCAATTCGCATATGCAATATATATGGGCTTAAACACTGTATTTCATATTAATTATATTAATTTAATTGGAAAATACCAAACTTTAATTATTATTAGTATATTTAAATATAGCTTTTTACTGTAATAGATGACTTCGAGAAATTGCACTATTTTTGGTCTTTGTGTGTCTAATGTTATTCGCCGAGAAAATCACCATCCACCTGATTTTCGTTGCCACGTGCTTTGCCAAGTACAGCAACCACGGAAATTAATACTAAAATAACCAATGAACTCACCGCACGCCTATTTGAAATTAATTCTTTCACTGCGGAGCTCGGCAAAATTAATACCGAACTTAATGATAAACTTACCGCAGAAATCAAAAAAATCAATTCACGTGAGGAAGCATGCTATAATAATTTTGCCTCGGTTAATGCTTCTATTGAACTCTCCAAAACGAATTAATTCAACATTATGCAATTATCAGAAAGCGCGAAGACTAGGAAGTTGGTGAATAGGAATACGCTCTGGCATTGGGAACGCAACCGTTGACTATTCCGGCCGTGCATCTTTGCTGGTTGATGATGATGACGCAAATACTCATATTTTACTATTTTATTCTTTAGTGGAAAGAACGATAAGGGCAGGGACATTTTGTGTCAAGTTGCTGGAATAACATTTGTAATCCAGTGCAAGAACTGGACAGGAAATAACAGAATAAGTAAGTAAATTATTCATAACCACTTCTGAAATAACTTTTTAAGATAAAGAATCGCTCAATATTTTTTAGATCGCGAGATCACCTACGCTCACTGTGAGGTGACTCGCAGATGCGCAAAACAATACGAAGGTGCCGCTATTGGCATTATAGTTGCACCTTCAATGAGTGCATTCACGCCCGGTGCAGTAGAAGCGGCCGAAACGGCTGATGAATTAATCCTCTTTTCGGCCATAAACAAACTACGTTTTTATATTTCTCACGCGACTGTCAATAGTCGAAATGGTGTTTTTACTTACTTTCGACTACCATGAACCTTTTTATTTTAAATATTAATAAAGCTGGCCCTTGTGGCTAATTCGCATACATAACCAGTTTACTTTTGCATGTGTATTTCCTTTATTATATGTATTGTACATTACTCGCATATGATCGAGAATTTTTCACCAGGCGAAAGTTGCTGACCATTGGTCAGGATATCACGTGAATTTTTAAATTTTGAATACTAGCATAAATATTATTATTATATTACGCAGGCATGCAATCCGAAATAGATTTATTGAGGAGCGAATTACCGAACTTGAGGCTGAGAAAGCTGAGCCTGAGGCCAAAAATTCCGAGCTTCTAAAACGTGTTATAGAAGAGACCACCAAATACAAAGCTGAGAATGATGAGCACGTGTTATAGAAGAGACCACCAAATACAAAGCTGAGAACGATGAACTCAAAGCTAGAATCGAGGAGTTGGAGAAGGGTAGAACGGATACTGCTGTCGAGAATGCTAGACGTGATGTCGAGAATGCTGAGCTCAAGGCTAGAGTTGCGAAATTGGAAAAAGAGTCCAGGCAACCACAGAATGATTTATCTCCCAAGGAACTTGTTGATATAACAGAGTTTGTAACAAGTGGTGCAGTACCAGAAGTGCTGTTAACTATAGATGACCCAATACCTGCCAGCTTTAAGTTATCAGAGGATAGAAAGACGGATGCTTTCTTGGATGAGATGAACAAGAAAAATGTTAGTGATAATATAAGACAAAGGAATAGGGAGAAGAAGCTTCAATGTGAGTTGGCCTGCCTTCTTATAAATTCGAAGCCAGAAGATAAAGTATCCTGTGAAGAAAAGGGGGATCAGACTGGATCAGCTCTCTCCAGGAACCCTCCCCTTCACCTGTTGTCCGAAAAATACCATACAATCAGAAAGTTGAGCAAGGTATAA